GCATACCCTGAGGCCTCTTAGGACAAGGGTCGCAGGGCCGAGCCTCATCTGGCATTCATGAGGAGAAGCAGGGGGGCTTCCACCAAGATTAGGGTGTAGATCACTTTCATCATGACTTGCACTTTGCAAAAATACCTAAAGCCGGGCTCTGGGAGCCACAGTTCACTAGTACGCTTATGCAATTGCAAAGCCAGTTAGCATGGATTTTCAGAACTATGCCTTGAAATGGAAATTTGCAGGATACAACTCTGCCTGCCGAGGCATTGAAGGGCAGCACCATTGCAGGAAGGCCTTGGGCCAGACTGGGGGCGTCAATCACTGGTGGTGGGGTCGGTCAGGTATCTTCATGCATTATCAGCCCAGAGTGTAAGATAGATTTGAAAGGGTGTGGACAGCCTGTGTGCATTGTGGGAAGGGAGTGTCCCAGGAGACCTGGGTGGGCACTTTGCCTTTCAAGTCTTCCCAGCTGCAGGGCACCTTTCTGCTTCTGGCAGCCACCACTCAGGACTTCTCTTCCTGAGCAAGAATGATAACCTTCCCTACCACTCATCTGCACTTGAAGGGCACCCTGGGTAATACATCCTAGCTAATACCTACACTTAGCTGCCACCGGAAAGGTTGAAGGCGGGGGGGGCGCCCCAACCCATAGCCCCACCCCCACCCTCAAGTCCCGAGAGACACCTTAAAGGAAAATCTTGGCATTCTATTTCTGAAAAGAAACAAAAAAAATCAATCATTCAAAACTTTTCATTCAAAACCCTATGGAGTCCATCCAACACCTAACAATGGGTCTCCCTTCACCTGGAGTGACAGAGGAGATAGAAGAGCTGGCATGGAGGTGGATAGGAACGAGGAGGGAGATAGGAATCTATGGCTGAGTGCTCTATGCACACCGCCTCTTTTGCCTGGAACCCAGAAGAACGGATGGTGCCGGTGGGTGGTGCACCTGGGTTGGCCCAATCTAGGCCAGGTGGGCTTAATTTAGCCAATGGGGTCAACCAGCACTGTTGACAACGCCTCCCAGCGGAAAGCCCTAAAAAGCCAGTGCCCTGTGGGTGCCTGTGTTCAGTTACTATAACGCCTGAAATGTCTTCTATCCTTTATAAAAACCCACTTGGCTCACAAATCAGGGTTCAGCATGAGTTCTTCCTTGTGCGAAGCCAACAACAGAGGTAATTCCCATCCAAGGAATCTAACAATTCCATGGGACCCTTTGGGGGCAGGGGGTGGATGCTACTGAGGAAGGAGCAACCCAGAGACAGAAGGTGAGGAGGGTGACACAGTCAATGGCTGCCGTCAACGTCACGGCACTGGACGTGTGAGAACCATGGGACTGGAGTATGTCTGGATGTGTGTGTTCTTCTCAACAATAACAAGATAAACAAAACAGTGGGGGGGGGGATACAATTGAGCACTCTTCTACATGGACGCACACACACATGAATGGGAATAAATGCGACAGGAGCGGCGAACTCTCCTGTAATTTGGGGACGTGCCCTGAGAGGCAGATCCCAGGTGCACAGATAAGGACCTGGAGGAGGGCAGGTTTAATCACTACCTAAGGTCACATAGAAAGGGGCTGGGCCGGTGCTGGCTGGGTCTCCTCCACCACAGACAAGCTCTGGTCAGAGCCCCTCCTCCTGGCGGCACCAGGAACCACTGCAGGGGGAGCAGGCTGTCAGCAGGAGCAGGGTTCAAGCATACCACTGCCCGTGCCCCATCCCAGACCAACTACACCAAAGGTCAGCCAGATTTCCCCAGACCAGGGACCTGGTGTCCAAAGAGGCAGGGTGAATTTGGGCCATGCTGGGCCTGAGCCCTGTCTCCTGCTGGGTGTTCATTGCCTAAGGCCCCTCCCGAGTCTTCCCGCCCACAGCATCACCTCATCACGTGGATGCATTCTGGCTCCTTGGCGAAGCTGTAGGCGTAGCCACTGGACGTGGTCCCAAAGTCAATGGCGACCACCACGAGAAATGTCTGCTCCTCAGTGACGTTTGAGTCTGTGTCGTTCTGCAGGGAAAAAGCGTGAGGCCAGGATGAGGCTGGGAGAGGCGCTGATCCTGGCTTCCAGGGACATGTCCCTGCCGGCCAGGCATCCTTGCTCAATAGACATGGCATCCCAGCTACAGGGAGTCTGTCCCTGGGGACGGGCCCAGCTGGCCCCAACCCCAACCTGAGTTATTAGACGGGAGGTGTCCCTGGTCTGGGGGCAGCTGCCCAGCCTGAGTGGAAGGTCGGGCCCACTAGGGAGGACACCTGCCTGCAGTTCGCCCACTTTAACCTCACACACTTAGAGACTCAGCCCTCCACATGGTGACACAGGTGACTTGCTCCACCCGCTACCAATGGCTCACAGCTGATGCTGCTGAACAGAAGAAGCAGCTGCTGAAGTGAACGTCCCCCCTGGGGTGTCATGGTTACATGTTGGGCTACGAGCCGCAAGGTCTAGAGTTTGCAACCACCAGGTGCTCCTCAGGAAAAAGCGTTACAGTCTCAGAAACCCCCCGGGGGCAGTTCTACCCTGTCCTGTAGGGTCATTAGGAGTCAAAATGGACTCACTAGCAGTGCGTGTGAGTCTGTAACACTGGGAACCTCTGTGAGTCAAGTCTAGCTCACAGCCATGAGTGTTGTTAGCATGGATGGCAGGAACACTGCTTGATTATCTGATTGTTCTATCAAAGTAGTCAGCACAGCCCCCTCCCAGCCACACACACCACACACACACACACACACACACATCTTACCACGATATGGGAAGGGGACAGAGGCGTTATTCCCGTGTCTCCCAGACTCCGGGCTGGAGATGAATATGCAGAAGTGGGAGCCGTTTCTGAAAGAAAGGACAAGTACACTCCTTAGAGGTGGCACCCACTGACTCCCCAAAAACAGGAATGGGGAGGCCAGTGGCTTTGCCTGAGAAGTCGCTAAGGTGGTGGGCGAGGCGGAAGCCCACCATCAAGGCAGGGGCCCTGCCCAGCACCCCTTGTGTTTGTATTTGGTAGTTCAAACAGGACCACGCCCTCCTTGGCTCCAGCCCTGGGCTAAGCAGGAGGCGTGGCTCCAGGTGAGACCTCTGTGGAGTCGATCCCTAACTTGGGTGCCCTGAGGGACCTGTGTCCACCTGCAAGTCGGAGCAAGTGTTTGTGTGCATTTTCAGGGAGGAGGCGCCACAGCCCTCAGCTTCCCAAAAAACAGTGAGACTCCCAGGTGACTACCTCCACTGGTGGTTCGGCGGCCCAAATTCTCCCAGGCCATGCAGAAGACCCGGGGTTGATTCCCAGCCAGCGCTTGTCACAGGCGGCCACCACCTGTCCGCCAATGAGGGAGTGGAGCTGCTTGGTACTCTGACACTGAGCACGTTTCAGCAGGGCTTCCAGACTAAGACAGGCTACAAAGAATGGCCTGGTAAGCTCCTTCCAAAGCCAGCCAATGGAAATGCTCAGGATCACAACCATCTGATCTCCCCGGGATCCTAGGGACGGTGTTGGATCAGACGGCGTTTTGCTCCATCCTGCGCTGGGTTGCGGTGAGGTGGTGGCAAACTTGATGGCAGCTAACAACGTTTCTAAGCAAGTAGGCTACAGGCCGGACTTCCAGAAGAGCTTCCTTAACTGATGGGCCCATCATTGCTTCCTCTGACCCTTGGCACAGGGACACCCACCACCACCACCCCTCAGCCCCTGCCTGGTGAGCTCATCACCCTACAGCGAGACAGAGCTTCACGACATTAAGGAAACACCAGCAAAAAGACCTCTCTGGATGGGCATTTCTGGGCCCCACAGACAGAGCCCGGCAACAGACACAAGATCACACTGGAGCAGGGCCACCCGCCAGCAGCAGGCAGCTCTGGTGGTGGCTGGCCCCGCTGCCCTTACAATTACTCAGCAACAGACTCTAGTGCTAGATGTCTACCAGAGCATGGTGGCATTCCCCCGGGGATCAGCACCCAAGAAGATGTCACACCCTCCCCAGCCAGGGCTGGAGAGCTCCCAGAGGGCCAGGACAGCAGTGCTGGCTGAGCTGTGACAACACGCTGGTCTCACGGCAGAGACTACAGGGTGTCCGCAAACACCAGACCCTGGAAGGGGGGATCCCCAAACCTGCTCTTTTTGGTGCACATCCTAATCCCTGGCCTGGGGAGGTTGGGGGAAGCGTGCTTGTTAAAGAAGGAAGCCGATTGATGCAATGGTTAATGGCCTGATGGCTCACCAAAGAGGGTTTGACCCCACCAGCCATCCACGGGGAAGACGGTGGCCGTCTGTTATAACACAGACTTCAGCCTCGGGAACCGTGCCCTGTCGGGTTGAGGAGAGACAGAACAACGGACGCCACCCAGCAACAATTTGCTGAAAGAATATTGGTGGATCGATGCCTGACTCCTCCTGGGGGGATCTCCAGGTGGTCCCACCTGCTCCTGCTGCTCAACCACTGGGATGAACCCTGGGCTCTTGCTGACTTTCCTTCTGCCGGGTAAAGACAGCAGTCATCCTGTTGCTATGGTGTTAGGTGCTACGAGGTCAGTTCCGGCCCATCGTGGCCGATGCCCAACAGAACACACACTGCCTGGTGCTGAGCCATCTTCCCAAGTGTTCCGATGCCTGAGCCCCCTGCTGCATCATCCTAGCGCGTAGTAAATGGGCTGAAGCAGTGAAATGAGTCGTTGCAGAGCAGAGGCGAAGCTTTTCATCCATGCAACCTCCTCCCCTCTCTCTGCCGATGGTCCCTCTCCTGGTGAGGTTGATTCCAACCTCTGGCAGAGAGGTGCAGAGCCAGGTAATTCGTGGGCAAAAATTCAGCTTGCTCATCTGAGAGGGGGAGTGCTTTCCAATTTCTGTTAGCATCACAGCTCCTGAAAGGAGAACTGGAGAAAATTCTGGCTCCAGGAGGCACTGCTAGGTGCCACCGAGTCAGTACTGAGTCATAGCGACCCTCCTCTGTACAGGAGAATGAAGCACTGCTCCGTCTGCACCACCCTCCCAGCTGCTGTTAGGCCGGAGCCTGCTGTGCCAGTCCGTCTCGCCAAGGGTCTTCCTCTTGTTCGCTGCCCTTCCCCTATCTCAAGCAGGAGTCCCCAGGTGGCACAGATGGTTAAGCGCTAGATGACTAATGCAAAGGCTGCTGGTGGAAACCCACCCAGACGTACCTCAGAAGTAAGGTCTGGTGGTTTGCATCCAAAAGGTCACAGTCATGGAGTGTCGTTCTATTCCACACACGCAGGGTCACCACAGGCTGGAGTGGATTCAACAGTGACCAACAGCCATCTGGACCCGTCTGCTAAGCCCCAGTGGTTCCACTCTTGCAAGCTACCAGCACAAGGGCACCTCTTTCTATAACAGCAGGGGGATTAGGCCTCTCTACTAGAGGGTGCTGTCAGATGGTCCCTCCACCTGTTGACAAGAGGACCCCCAGACCAAGGCCCCTGGGGCAGCCCGTGGAGAGATGGCAGCCAGAAGAGCAGGGAGCATCCTCTCCCCACCTGCTACCTGAAAGGCCTGCAGCCACGGGGCCACACTCGCACAGACGGCCTTGGGAGAAAGCACATGTCTAATTGCCCAGGAAATCTGGTGCTGGCAATTAGCAAACAAGCTATTATCTGCAGACACGCCACTCACACCGCTGCCCGCTTGGTTCTAATTATCCCATCATTCAGTCCAGCTCCAAGCAGGTCCCTGGATCCGTCCCACTGACTTCCAACGGAGCATGAGCCAGGCCACACGCTGAGCACATGCCTTGGGCCCCAGGGAATTCCTGGACACTCGAGGGCAAGAACCAAGAATGTGGGGGCTCTCCCAGCTCCACCCTCCCCCATTCCATCTGGTATGGTAATAAATCCATCACTGGGCTGGCTCAAAACTCAGGCAGGCCCAGGAGCAGTGGAACTCCACCGACTTTCTCCAACCCAAGTTGAAATTCAGCCACACTGCGCAAGGCTTTCACGGATCTGCATACACGGTACGGAGGAGTGACATTTTTCTAATATAGATACATGCATCTCACGCACACCCACACGCCTATCTCTATATATGCCAAAGCACAGATAATCCACCACTTACTGTCCATCAACTCAGCACTTAGTTCTGGTGTGTGCCGTAGTCCCCACCCAAACCCAGGACCAGCAAGTCTCTTCCAACGACTAGTCACCCCGGCCTACGCTCCTGAACTGATTGGACTGTTGCCTCCTTTTCTAACATAATAATGACTCAAGGCACCCCTGGCATTAAAGGCTGCTGTAGTATATCCCACAATCCAGGATGTGCTTTTGCCCCCTCCTGGGGTCGTTCTGGGGCCCCTAGGGGGCAGTAGCGTTCACTTTGGGAAACGCCACTCTCCAGTTTTCTGAGGCTGTGCATTCTCACTGCCTGCAGAGCAGCGAGTGGGTCTGAACCACCGACCTCGCAGTGAGCCGCCCAACGCTTACCCAACAGTACCACCCGGGCTCCCGTGGTGTGGGTGAAGACTCTTTAAAAGACCATGGCCTGCCAGAGGGACCATCAAATCTGTCACGGGAGAGGCTCCTTAGACAGACAGAAAGTTCCTCAGGATCAAGGATGGTGAGACTCTGGTCTCACGTACTTTGGAGACGACGTTGTACTTGGTAAAGCGGAGGGTTGGCTCCTCGACCAGATGGACTCGCACAGCGGCTACGGCAAGGGGCCCCAACGTAAGAGCAAGCGTGAAGATGGTGCGTTCTGCTGTGCGCAGGGTCGCTGTGAGGCAGAGACCACCCGATGGCTCCCAACAATAGCAACACTCCCAACCACCCTGGCGTCATTCCTATCACGGGAAATGATCTGAAATGACGCGCGAAGGGCCAATGGAATGTCATCGATGAATCCACTGATTCCTGATGATCTCCTTGGTGCTTCCTGTTAACAGATGGCAGTAAGAACTGATATATGGAAGGGATATACCGTACATACTCGTGTATAAGCCGAGTTTTTCAGCACATCTTTTAACGCAGTTTTTGTGGTAAAATTAGGTGCTTCAGCTGATATTCGGGTTGGCTTATACACAAGTATACACGGTATATGTTCAAGGTAAGATGCTCTGTGTCCTGCCTACCAAAGACACCCAGCCGCAGTAAGGAATTCCCCAGAGCACACACGGTGGCACTTGTATAAAACAAGTAACAGCAGCGCCTGGCCCATGGCTGCTTCCTCCTTGCTGATGCTCAGCACACACAGTTGGCCAAGGCCCTCTGTGGAACAAGACTGCGGGGCAAAGCCTCCACCCCACCCCCACCCTGGATCCGTAGGCTAGGAAGCCAAACAAAGGAAAAGCCAAAGCTGTTCTGGGGAGGAAGGAAAGGTCCTTCCTTGTAAAAGAGATCCTAGTGAAATGTTTTCACAGCAGAGCTGAGGGCTCTGGGAATTTTAAGAATGTCTGACCCTGTTGCTGTAGCAAGATTCAGTGAAGAGCACCCTTAGCACCTTCCGGTTCAAGCGCCAGCCACGTTGGCCAGGAACCAACGATGATGATGTGGCCTCGATGACGCCACAGCACTGAATCAGAAAAACGCCCAACATTTCGAGGCGCATCGGCCCTAAGACTGCAGAGAGATCCAGAGCGGAAGCAGGAGAGGACGGTGTCCCTGAAGGCGGCTGAGGAGCAGACAGACGTGAGATCGGCAAGTCTCTGTCCTTAAACTCAAACCAAACTCACTGCCCCCAGTCAATGGGGGCTCGTAGCAAGCCCACGGGACAGGGTAGACTCGCCCCTGCGAGTTTCCGAAACTCGAATCTTTACAGGAGAAAGCCCCCAGGGCTCCTTGAGGTCACCAAATGGCATCCTGTGTTATGTATTTGATGCACAGAAAACCCTTGATAGTAG